TGTAATTTTATGTATCCCTCATCTAGGAAATGCATTTACATTAGTCTTAATGATACTTTGAAAAGAAATCTAACAAACACTAGAAGAGAGTTCTAATACTTCAATTTCCTATTTTAAAAACTGGTACATTGGGGCTGGGGATTTAGCTCAGTGGCAAAGCGCCTGCCTGGCAAGCGCAAGGTCGTGAGTTCAGTTCCCGGTACCGGAGAAAAACAAAACAAAACAAAACAAAACAAAAAAACAAAACAAAACAAAAAAAACCTGGTACATTGAGAAATGGTGCATACAGAAAAGAATCAAACATCCAACTTACCTAACCTTACTGTGCTACTGAATAGCCAAGGAGGAGAAGTGAGAAATTCCTTTCTGTGATGTACTTTTACTCAAATATAAACACTGAATTAAGATATCGTGTTTTACTACCCGTAATAAATAAAGATATCTAGACCTTGAATATAATGAAAGACAGAGAGAGAGGAGAGAGAGAGAATGTGTCTTCTGCTGGAAGTACACAGTAGCACCACCTATGAAGAAATATTGCTGGAGAAAGTGGATCAAACCTCCAACTACCAATCCGCTGAAACATGGAGGATAGAGACATAAATTAGATGGCACCTCAGGGATTTAACCAGAACAATCCATTCTATGGTAAGCTTTACAGGAATAGTAAATTGCGAAGAAAAAGATAACATGGAGGGGATCTTACAGACTGTATTGTATATGAACATGTAGGCCTTATTTGTATTTTAATTCTGACAAACTAAAAATATTTATGACTTTTATAAGATAACTGCATCTTTGAACACTGGGTACTTGATTCTACCAAGGAAATGAATTCTTCCTTAGGTATAAAATTGCTAGGGTGGTTGTGTTTTAAAAATGAGTCCTTTGGCTGGGGGTACAGCTCAGCAGCCCAACACCTGCCTGGCAAACGCAAAGTCTTGAGTTCAACTCCTGGTACCAAACACCAAAATGAGTCCTTAGCCAGGTGTGGTGGTGCACACCTGTAATCACAGCACTTAGGAGGCTGAGGCAGGAGGATTGCTCTGAGTTTGAGGCTAACCTGGACAATACAGTGAGTCCAAGGTCAGCCTGAACTACATAGTGAGACCCCATCTCAAAAACATGAGTCCTTGTCCTCCAGAGTTTCACACTAAACATTTCTAGATGAAGTGATAGAATGACTGAGATCTGTTTTCAAATGATATGGAAAAGAAGACAGTGGGTGATGAAATAAGACTGACCACGAGCCGACTGTCTTCATAGATGACTGGGGGGTGTAGGGTTCACTGCACTGTTCTTTCTACTGCGCATAGGTTTACACTCTTAATAATAGTTATTTAAAAATAAAAGTGAAAACAGTTGTTATGAATCTGATTACCACTCTTTGGCCTAATCTTAGCATCCTTAGTACCTCTTTCCTCTATTACAAGAAAGACAATATTCACATCCACTTTCCATCCGCCCCTGGTGTGAGTCATACAAATAACCCAAGGATAATGGCCTGGAGAGCGCCTGATTTCTGCCTTATTCACATCTCCCTGGGAGCAGCTGGACAGGGCATCCCGTGAAGGTGCCTGGCTGCAGCTTTAGGCCTGAGCCTGGATGAGGCCCACTTCCTGGGTATCACTTCCTGTCTCTGCCCCCACCCTTCTTCAGAGGACCAGGAGAGGCTGGGACCCAGAGACACCTTGGTTACAGGTGTCACTCCCCAACCCCCCGGGGCTGTTAGGTCAGCACTGTGGGTTTCATGTGAGATGGAGCTCACTGAAAGGCACTGATCTCTCTCTCCCTTCTCTAAAATCTTCATGAGGGGCTAAATTATAGTCCCCATGACACGACTTTACAAAAGACGCCACATTCCTAGATCCACTTCTGGCCCAGGGCCAGGACACTTGGGTGCTGAAGGCCACTGCCCTGTCTATTCAGCCAGTCATCCTCAGGGATCTGAGTGCATGGAGGTGTGGGTGAAGGGTGAGGGTTTCCGTTTGTCTTTGTGACTAAAGAACACCTCTTTAGGTGTGCGTGGATGGTGGAGTGGAGCCCAAGTAGTGGGTCAGACCTCTGGGATTCTCATCAGGTTTTCTGTGAGTTTTCCTTTAGGTGGGTAAATAGTCCCTGAGGGGAGAGGTCCCAGGGCTGGCAGATACTGAGGACAAGAGCCATCGAGAGGGCTAGAGAAGGAGCCTTGTGTTCCTGCCCAGCGTCCACCTCAGCTGCCTGAGGAGATGTCCTCATCATGGTCCAGGACACACTTCTCTTAAGGATACAGCTTTAGTCAGCCACTTCAAATTCTCTATGGAGAAAAGATATATTAAACAAATGCATTGAAAATATGCTGCTTATACTGCTGGGCATGGTGGTGCCCTTGGGAGACTGAGGCAGGAGGATCATCATGAGTCTGAGACCAGCTTCAGCTACATAGTGAGTTCAAGGCCAACCTGGACTGCATAGCAAGACCCTGTCTAAAAAAAATGTTGCATATAAAGCTGAAGATTGAACTTCAGACTGCTCCGTATGAAGGTCTCCATACTTAGTAAATAAAAATAAGGGATGTCGTGCTAAATTTGAATTCCTAAAAATAGTGCACATTTTTCAGTGGGTCCGTACCTTGTGCAATATTGTGGACACATGCATACAAGAACTGCATTTGCTATGTGTCCTGTATTTCACCCAGCGACCCTACTTTATGTGTAAGTTTTCAATTAAATTGTGACCAAGAGACAGGCCCTGTATGAGCCGTGGAGCAATCTTCCAGAGTGATGAATAGGATGAGATGTTCTTTTGCTTAATAATAGACAGGAACAAGTTGCATGTTTTGTCTCAGAAGTTTTATAAATAAGTGCTTACATGGATCCATCCCACCTCCATTTTGCCATGTGGCCAGCTGGCATCATTTTACCAACTCCTCTGGTCCTTGGAAACACAGAGACCCATTCCATAAGGAAAGGGGCTCCCAGGAGCCTCAGAAGAGAGCTGGCATCACACAGCCTGCTGTGCACAAAAGGGAGAAACAGCTGCACTCCCAGGAAACTTTGGGCTGGGCTCGACAGTGTGAGGAGCGCCCACTGGGCTGACACCCGGGGTATAACACTGTTGCTGTCCTGGGGCCCCTGCAGACCACAGGGATGCCAGTTCCAGCACCAGCACTGGGCTGCTGGTTCATTTCCAGGACTGGGTCCTAACAGGGTGGGTGGAGCAGCCTTGGTCTCCCTGTCTGGACCTGCCCACCTCCCTTCCCCTCTCTTCCCATCACCTTGCACCAGCAGCTCTGCTCTCAACTGCAGGCATGTCTGTCTCTTGCCATGGTCTGGATCTTAGGGTTCCCTGGGGCTGTGTGTTAGAGGCCTGGTCCCTGGGATGGCACCATTGGGAGGTGGTGGGACTTTAGGAGGAGGATGCTGGGGGGGTCTTTGGGCATTGAGAAGCAAAGTACTTAGGGGGCTGAGACAGGAGGATCACCATGATTTCAAGACGTGGCGAGTTCAAGGCCAATCTGGACTACATAAAGAGATCCTGTCTTAAAAAAAAAATATATGCTGCTTATAAAGCTGAAGACTGAACTGCAGATTGCTCCGTGTGAAGGTGACACGGGGACTACGTACGGAACCCACCCATCCCTCACTCTCTCTTTTGCCCCCAGCTCTCAGGTGAGCAGTTTTGCTGCATCATACCCCCAATCCTGACGCAATGCCTAGACACAGCCACAAAAGCAACAGGGCCTGCTGCAGGAGCCAGGATCTCCACCTGTCAGCCAGGATAAAATGGTTGATTATCTCAGGTACTGTGACAGTGACGCCTCTCCCAACGGGCAGCTGGTATCATCTGACGGCACTGTTGGTTGTCCTGGCTCTGTGAGGGAGCTCCTGTCACCCCTTGCGCAGAGAGCAGGGTGCGGAAGCTCCAGTGCCCCGGGCAGCCGCACGGCAGGGACTGACTCGGCCCATGCCCTGTAACGTGGCCGCTGAGAAAACTACTCTAAGCACCACTGTCCCTGCCCTTGGAACAGCTCCTGCATACGCCCCTCCACACCTCTGAACTTCTTCACGCATGCACACTGCCCTGCACCGGTGCTGACTTCATGCCTCTCCCAGCCTAGAGTCCCATGGTCTTCCTAGTCTCTCAGGAATGATTTCAAAGTTCTGAAGTTGGCTCGAGGCCCTGCAGATGTGACCTCTGCCAAGGTCACTGCCCACAGCCCCCTCTCCTGTGCTGCAAGGTCCTGCCAGGGGAAGTGGCTGCTCCACCCCTCAACAGGTCCTTGCACTTCCTGCTCCCGAGGCCTGAAAGGTTCACAGTTCCCCCTGTGCCTTCACCCGAGCTCTGTTCCCCCACAGACCACAACTCTAACACCCTCTGCAGGGAGACTGGCTGCGGGTGGATGCTGTCTGGGACGCACACTGTGTCTATCTGCACACTTACAGTGAAAGAGCTGCGTAAATTGTTGCTGAAAGTTTACTTCTTCTAGCACATGAGCTCCAGAAGGTCAGGGGCTAAATTCCCAGAGCTCTCTGGGGTTTGTTTGCAGTGAGCAAAGCTTCAAGTGACTCTCAGCACAGGAAGGGAACCTGTACACAGGCCTGGTGCATTTCTGGCCCTCAGCAGGCCCCAGTAACAGCTTCACAAACTACCGACCGCATGCATGACCCAGGACAAATGGTAAAGCTGAAGTCAGGAATCGAAGTCCCCAAGCCAAAGGGGCCAGAAGGCCAACACGAACAATCTGAGTGGGCCAGGTTGGAATTTCCAGAACTGCATGCACCCTAGGGAGATGGTAGCTGCTGAGCCCCACACCTGGCCTTCCGAGTGGGTTTATGGGCTCAGGAGCAGACAGCTTCCTAACTGCCAGGAGAAGACAGGCATCCTGATTTGCTGTGAGGTCCTCAGTGTTTAATGTTAGCAACTATTTCAAAGTTTTTAAAATTTCTGAGCCAAATGGAATACAGCCATGGTCTGGATATAGCCAACTTGGCTAGTTTGTCATTTCTTCTGAGAAATAATGTGGTTGCTCAGGTTTGGCCTGAAGGAATTTCAGATGCTGAGCACCTGGACTCAAGGAATGAGGAAGAGAAATCTCTCAAGGTCTCAGGATCGGGAGTGTGTCAGACCAAAGAGGAGCAAATCTTCCTTTGATGAGGACACAGGTACGTTTTTCCAACCAGTCTAGAGGCTTGTAGAATGTTTAAACAAATGCATTGCTTTTTTGTGCTTAGAAAACACACCTGAATTCAGATAACAGTATTTAATGACTGAACAAAATTATGCTGAAAGGAATAGAGAACGAGAATTTGGCACTGGGTTCAATTTAAAACTATGCCAAAGAAGTAGCTTCATTTCCTTTTTTATCCCAGTATGAGACTGAGATTTGGCAGGGTGGGCAGCAGTGTTACTAAAATTCAACAAGGCATTTGATTTTCTGCCCCACACTGTCCCTTTGGATGGGGTAAGTGACAGCTTAAGCGAAATGCAGCGGGGTGTGTAGAGCACTAATTCCAGCACATGTCCTTCTGGAGGGGTGGGCAGTAGGAACACAGCACAAGGAAAACTGCTTTCAGGGCAATCAGAGCTTAAGAAAAGTAAATAAAAATACACAGAAGGGAAATTCAAACCATGGAGGAAGGGAGCAATGTGGACTCCCAGCTGTTTGCTGTCCTGGGCTCGAGCCTCTGCAGCACTTGCGCTGGAGCTGCCTCCTCCTCCTCTTCCTCCTCCTCCTTCTCCTCCTCCTCCTCCTTCTTCAGTATTGGGGATTGAACACAAAGCCTTCACAACTGGCTGCATCTCCAGCAGCCTTTCTATGCATTTATTTTTAAACTCTGAGAAAGGTCTAAGTCACCAACTGCCCAGGCTGGGCTTGAACTTACGTCCCTTCCAGAGTGCTGGGATTGCAGGACCGTGCCACCACGTGCAGCTCGTGGAGTCTCAGTGACACCGTGCCCTGTGCCCACGCTCCTTCCCAGCTCTGCCTCCATCATGACTTGCAACTACATCCAGGTGGGTTTCCCCCAGCACTGCTCTGCCCAGCCCCTGAGCCCATCTCCTGGGAGGTTGGTCAGCAAGCTTTCGTCACCAGCCTCAGAGCAGGAAGAGCTGAGTCTGCGCCCCTCGACTTGCTTGGCAGAAGTTCTGCATCGGCCAGTTCATCTAGCCTGGGATTCTACTGTGCTTCCTGTCTTGTTCTTGTTAGGTTTTCTTCCAGAGTGCTGTCCCTTCTTTGCACATTCCAGAGAACCGTAGACTTTGGGAGATCTCGGCTGTTGCCTGCCAGACCCTGGTTGCTTCCCTCACAACGTCCAGAGGAAGAATCGCCTATCTTTTCTTGGAAACACTTGGGCCATCTGGGACCAGTGCATGGATGCAGTAGACATGTTCTTTGGACAGTGTGTCTGGACTTCCCTCCATGGCCAGGGCTTGGACAATGCATGATCATTCCTCCTGGCTCCACCTACCCTCTTGTAAGGGCCATTTGGACTGTACCTGCTCCAGGGAGGTTTAGAGAAGCAGCACACCTCCTCTCCCAATCTCAGAATTTGACCAATAGAAGGTACAGTGGTCCTGTAAGTTACATTGACTTGTGAGACAAACTCAGGATTCAAAAAGCTTGACAGTGGAAGCCACCAGGCAGTCCTGGTCTTGTCTATGTTCCTACTTGCTCCTCTGCAGGATGAGGAATAGTTAGGTTTGTGACAACCCCTACTACAGACATCAAGCTTTTAGTGCACTTTCTCAGCAGCTGTCTCTGGTGAGTCATCAGTTTGTGAGGTGCCTGAGCTCAGACTGCATTCACACAGTGCAGGGTCAGGAGGCAGAGGAGGTACCGGCCGCGCTGCACGCTGCACTGATGGGCTGCACCTGCACTGGGTCTATTTCTGGTACCCACATGCTTGGAAAACTATAAATGATCCGGAACACAACACAAAAGCCATAACACCTGCTTTGCCAAGGGCCCAGAGAATGCTCAGCGCACAGCGGTAAAGGTTTGGGAGCTTCTATGTAAAGGGCCACTTCAGGACATGGGTTTACGTGATCCCAAGGGACTGACTCAGAGACAGTCGGGTGGGAATTTCATGAGAAGTACCTGAGACTCACACTGTCTGCGTTGGCAGGAAGAAAGCATCTCTGTCACTGAGGGTGTGGCCCTCTCAGAGGACCCAGGCTGGGCTGCCCCAGAGGCAGATCAGCAAAGGTTTGGGTCCCCTCGTCCGACACTCTCTGATTCTACTATGTCTTCCAAAGCCAGACTGCCACTGAGGAGAAGGAACACGGAAAGAACATCATGGAAGAGTGCTGGCTCTTCGAGGATTCTTCAAAGATCTACTTCTTCACTGTGCCTGAGAATCCCCCCATGGATGGAATTTATTCATCTCACCTAAGAGATCTGATTTGCGAGAATAAATGCATGGGTTCCTTTGTCATCTTTCTTATTTCTGTAAGGTTGGCAGTTGTGTCTCCTCTTGATTCCGCTTTTTGTTATTTGAATTTTGTCTCCTTTTCTCTTGGTCTACAAAGCTAAAATTTATCATTTTCTCCTCGTGTTTTTCTTCCCTTTCTCACCATTGTGGGATGACAGCACCGATACATGGGATGTTACCTACCATTTCCACAGCAGTGAGTTTAAGCTCGGCCAAGTAAAACAAGTTCCATCTGATACACAGTTAAGATAGATGAAACTCTGGGGGTCACAGCTGGGGGTCACAGCCACCCTCGCTCTGAGCACAGTCAGCGAACTCCAGCAGAATCTCCAGTGTGGTCCGGCGAAGTCTTTGTCTCAGGGGTTCAGATATTTCCGTTTGTTTAGTGTTGCCTTCTCCTGTGTGCTTCATCCTGCTTCCTAAACCAGCTGGTTTGCGCAGAACCAGTTCCGCCCTTGGACTTGAGCAAATAAAGATGTGCGCTACAGTGGTCTCATTATCTGTCCTCTGTTGTTCTGAGTCGGTAATTATTAAAGCAATAACTTTTCTCTCCCCACTCTGAAGGAGGGTTGGGGAAACATCTCAGAATCACTGGGAGGCAACTGCAGCTCAGACGGCTGCCGGGAGATCCAAATGCTGGGCCAGGAGCTCTGTGTCCAGTCCAGACTTCAGGGAATGGACGACCACATATCCATTCTGTCTGTCTCCCTCCCTCTCTGTTTTCATCCTAGTGTGTTAGTCCACATATCCATAATTACAGAAGGGGGCACTGTCTATCAGTGTGTGCTCAGTAAATAAAGAAGTTTTTCATTGTTATATGTAATGCATGATATTTACACTTGTTCAGATATATTAGAGTTCTCATATCTTGATCATTTTTGATCCTCCTTCCCCTCTCCTTGGTTCCCTTCCTCCACAGGAGTTTTGTGTTTTATTTATTTATTTATTTATTTGAGTTTTTTTTTTTTTTTTTTTTTTTTTTTTTTTTTTTTTTTTTTTTTTTTTTTTTTTTTTTTTTTTTTTTTTTTTTTTTTTTTTTTTTTTTGAGACAGGGTCTCGCTATGCAGTTCAGGCTGGCCTTGAGCTCACTTTGTAGCCCTGGCTGGCCTTGAACTCGAAACAATCCTCCTGCCTCAGCCTCCCAAGTGCTAGGATTACAGGTGCACCACCACTCCCAGATCTAGGAGTTTTGTATTTTAGCCACATCACACCCAGAGTTTAGAACCTAAAAATGCAATTCTATGCATCGGCTCTTATCTATACTTCCCACCTGACGCTGTATTATAAATTAAACATGTAATTTAGAGTAAAATACTTTAGCCAAGACACAGCTATATTTAAAATATTCTTGGTATCGTTGCTATTTTCTTACTATAATAATTTAATAAAAGGATGATTTTTATAAACTCTCCCAAGCAATAAAACTGAAATTTATCCTTGCATATGAAACTAAATCTTCTGCATTTTGGTAGCTTAAGGAAAAGTGAGCCAAGGAGTTTTCTGAAAGCTCCTGGAGAACAGGGCTGGCAGCAACAGGATAACAAGCACATGGTGTCACACATCACGCGCCGTCTGAATGTCGTTAGTTCCAAAACTGAGGTAGATGCTCGCTCCCGGCGGGCTCAGCACTGCCTTCTGAGGCTCGCCAATGCCTCCTGCACCTGCTCTGTCCTGGTCCTCCGGGCCTCGGGACTTCGCTGTTCTCCCGTTGATGTCAGAAAAGCTTTGGTCAGTATCTTGGTTACTTTTCTCTCATTGCTGGGACAAAATACCTGACGCCCAAAGTTAAGGAAGGGAAGGTTTATTTCACTTACAGTATGTGGAGGTTTCAGTCCATACTTGGCAGGTTACAAGGCAGACTGGTATATGGCAGAGGGCTACAGCTCATGGCAGCAGAACACAGCAAAAGCAACAAACACAAAAGGGAGGAATGGCAGCAAGCATCCTCTTCCTCTCCCTTACCTATGCAAACTATCCACCCCAGCGCGGGTGTAGCTCTCACACCCATAATCAATCAAACTCTAAAAGCCTGCCCCATGACGGCATGAGGCTTTGGGGGGACACCCAGACACAAACCATAACAGTCAGCTGCTCTTTAGCCAGACATTTGCAGTCCTAGGTTTTATCCCTAGTTAACAGTGTCAGGAAAGACGGTCGGTTCTCGACCAGTTGATTCTGAAGTCACAGTGGGTTACGAATCAGTGATGCCTTCTAGGAAAAACTCCAGGGGCTTTGGCTCTGGGCTCCAGGTGCCACCGCCGGCTGTTCTCCTGGCCCGGGATGAGGTGGCAGGGCGGGTGCAGGGGATGCTGGAGGATATGGAAGCCCTCAGATGTCCCCCGAGAGCCCCATGGGTGCACCTTCTCCTCTCAGCTCCCAGCAACAGCACTGCCAGACTCAGAAAATCAGACTTGTGGTTGCCAGGGGACAAGCGCTGAGGTCCCTAGACATCTCTTTCCTTCATAAGGAATCCGAAATTCCTATCTAAATGGTTTCGGTTTTCTTCCTTTAAAACATACCTAAGACGTGAGATCCTTGTATCTAAAGTTGCTTGATCTTGTTCTTTTTGTGGGCAGACTTCTGAATCTCATTACACATGCTAATTATAATACCACAAACCAGAACCAATCAAGGTTGGTTTTTCACTTAATGGAACCCCTCCTTCCTTTTCTTCTTCCCTTCTGCCCCTCCCTGCCTCATTCTTTCTGGTCTAAATAGTGTAGAGAACGGTTGTTGCATTAGGTACCTTCTGTGGTCTGCTTTTTGACTTACATGTACACACTGGCCATATTTCCATGTAAATGACATTCTTCCTCAAGGTCATGTGAATGACTGCATGGTATTTTCCTGTTTTATTTATATTCTTTATTTTCAAGTTCCTACTACTGTAAATAGCTTTGCAATGGCTTCACTCTGGTTGCCTTTCCCACTTCTCCCGTTCAGCTTTGCCTTTCTCCCCTCCCCAAGCTGTGCTTTCCAGCCCTGGCCCTGCAGCTCCAGGCTCCCGGGAGGGCAGATTCCTTCTACCTGAGTCTCTCTTCCCTGGGCAGCTGAGGAAAGCTCATCTCAAAATCTCACACAAGCTGGGCATGGTGGCACATGCCCCCTGCTCTGGGAGGCTAATGCAGGAGGGTTACAAGTTCCAGCCCAGGCCGGGCAGCGGAGTGAGTTAGCCAGCTCCTGTCCCAAGTAAGAAATGAAAGAAAGAGCTGGGGATGCAGCTCCGCATAACGGCCCTGGACTCAACCTGTGTCACACCAGTGCCACCTACCGTCCATGGCGGGAGAGCTGGGTGCTCCTGCGGGGCTGGTTCCACAGACTCACTCACTTCACTCCTGACTAGGCCGGTGAGGCGTTTGGGGAAAAGACCCTGAGACCCCATTTGGAGTGAAGAGAATCAGCCAGAGGGAGCTGCGGAGCCCAGGGAGGGCAGGGGCGGGGAGATTTCCTTGAGAGGCGAGCCACAGATCGAGGGTCACAGCAGAACATGGCATGAAAGGGAGGCAAATGTGGGGGCCACACAGCCTTGAGACACTTCCAGGGCTCCGTGAAGGCTGTGCAAGATCTCCTTCGTGTTTCACACAGCCCTGCGGTTGGGAGAATTGAAGGAGCTCACGAGGCCACACAGCTGCGGCAGGGGACAGGACGGCCTCTACAGCCCCAGAGGCCTCGCTGCCAGGCCAGCTCCACTCTACCCTGAACGCCGCATGTGGAGCCAGCTCCCACCCAGGGCCTCCTCTGCTCAAAGGCTTTATGAAAGCTCAGGAAGTCTGGTGTGTAATCAGACTTGCACCGTAATTCCAACACTTTGGGAGGCTGGGCAGGAGGACACAAGTTCAAGCCAGCCTAGGCAACTCAGCAACTTGGTGAGAACTTTCTCACCATAAAAGGTGAAAAAGGACTGTGCCTTTAAAAAGTGCAGTGCCAAGGTCCTGGGCTCACTCCCCCATACTGTAAAATCCAATAAAGCCTCCTTCCCTTAGATAGTGAGCCCGGGGGGGTAGGGGACTGGGGCTCGGGGTGGGTGTGCGGGTTCAGTTTGCCTCACTGGCCCCTCCTTCATCCGTTGTCTGACTGGTGGGACAAGGGTTACTTCTCTCGTGCAACTGGGGGGCCAAGAGCAGGGCTGAGGCTGGAGGAGCCGATTCCGAGGGTGCAGCTGACCGCAGCACACTGCAGGCATGGCCCGGGACCGGCCACCCGCCCAGCCCGCAGCCACAAAAAGCCAGGGCGCCCACGCCCCGGAGCCCGCCGCTAGCCGTCGAGGGCCGTGGTGCCGACCACGGGAACAGACCTTTGAAAGCATTCCATTTGTAACACTGGCCCTGAGCACTCGCAGGGGACGGGGCGGTCAGGGCTCGGTAACACAGCCTCGCGGGCGGCGCCCCCATCGCCCTGCGACGAGGACTGCTAGGGGCAGCTCCTGTCAACCGCCCTGCGCCCCGCGGTCGCGTCCCGCCGCTCCGCGAGCGGAAGCCTCGTGCCTCTCCACCCGGCCGCTCTCGGGACCCGCCGGACCTGGGCGGGGCTGAGTCCGGCCCGCGCCCGCCGCCTGCGGCTTCAGCTGTCACAACGCGGCTGAAGATGGCTCGCCGGCCGCGGTGCCCCCCGCGGGCCCAAGCCCCTTCCCGCCCCTTCTGGGGTGTGGGCGAGGTGGCGCCTCCGACCCCGCGGCACCCTGCCGAGTCCTTGCGGAGATGGTGCGGGCGGCACCGGCCGGTTCGGACGAGGAGCCGGTCGGCCCTGATCAGGGCCGCGCCGTCCCAACACACGGGCGCACGAGTGGGCAGTGCGTGTGAGGACAGCGCAGCGCCCCGCGGGCGGCTGGCAGCCCCTGCCACGAGGGCGCCTGCCTGGGACCACGGCCTGCCTGGCAGGCCCGCGGAGCTGTGGCCGAGTAAGGCCTGTCGATCGCAGCCACTCGGTTGCTGGCAGTTTGTTACAGCAGCAGGGCAAGCTGACGCAGTTTCCTCAGAGCCGGAGAGGGCTCCGTCCCCTCAGAGCGGCTGGGTGCTGAGTGCCGCAGTGTCCCTGGTAGCTGAGGGCTGCACATCTCGCTGGACACGTGGAAGTGACGTACAAATGGTACTGGCCGTACCTGGGGCTGACTCCTTGCGTCTGAGGGCCCTCGTGGCGACAGCCTCCTGCTCCCCGGGGTGCCGGCCTCCCCCCCTGCGGTGGCCTTGTCTGCGCTCCTGCCTGTGGGCGAGACCTTCACAGCCCCTCCCGTCAGCACTGGTGCCTTCTGCACTGCTGCCTGCGGGTGTGGGCTCCGGTGGGCTCTGCACAGCCTCCCCTTCTGGCCTCCTGCAGCCGCTCTGCCTGCCCCTCTGCTTCCATCCGTGTCACAGGGTCTCAGGGTCGGGGGTTGCGGTGAAGTAGAGGCTCCATGCCAGGCGCCATTCTGAGTGGCCAGCGTCCCCTCACGGAGCCAGGCGCTGACATCCAGATGGGAGCCAGTCAAGCACCTCAGCTGG